GATGATATGGTTGCGGCAAATAATATTCTTTATAAACCTGGTGAACATCCTGATCATGGTATGTAATATATATATATATATTCTAATATTCTTGCTAATTTTTTTTTATATAATTATTATAACTAAATATATCTTTCCTTCCTTTTAAATGTAAATAGTTGTAGTTATTAAACATGTACCTGCTGTAGGAGATTCCAAGCGTGCCTTGGATGAATATGTTTCGGAAATATTCATGGGTGGTAAGAATGTAAGTAATTTTTAATATATATTACATTTAAATGATTTTATTATAAATTTTAACACTTGTATATATTTATTAGACTATTTCGTTATATAATATATGTGAAGATTCTCTTTTGGCCTCTCCTCTTATTTTGGATCTAGCAATTGTTACTGAATTAATGACTCGTATTGAATATCGTGTCGAAGAAATGACTGAATTTGTGCCATTTGACGCTGTTTTATCTATTTTAAGTTTCATGTTAAAAGCTCCATTAGTTCCACCTGGTACACCTGTTGTCAATGCTTTAAGTAAACAACGTATGGCCATGGAAAATTTCTTCCGTGCTTGTGTTGGATTGGCCCCTCAAAACGAAATGCTTTTGGAGTATAAAGCTCCAGTTCACAAAAAAGTTTATTAATTCGTTTTTTTCCACTCAATTTTATTCCATGGTCTTTTTTTTTTGGTTAACATTTCTATATATACTAGAGATAGATCTAAGACGTAATATTTAAACAAATGATGCCTCCTTTATACTATCATCATTACTTATATCTTCCTAGTCTTGTTTAAATGATATAGTAGTTCTTCAAAATAATAAATTGAAATGTTAACAATATTAAATTTAATCAAAGTCTTTGTGAATTAAAAGTATTTATTTCCGGTTGTACATGAAATTTACTAAAATTAATATTGGATAATTATTATTATTTTTTTTTCATCATTCGAAACTAATTTTACGCAAATCAATATGGTTTTTCTGTACTCTCATATACCATACTAATCCAGTTGCCTATACCATATTAATTTGCAAAATTGAGATCAAAAAAATGTTAAATCGTATAGCATAATGCTGGCCGGCTAATTATAACTCCAATTCGGAATATTTATAGATTTCCCTGTAAAAAAATATAGGGAGGTGATATGCAATTTTGTCCAATCAGAAAGAGATATTATTGACCAATCGACTCTTTTAATATTTTTATTTTGCAATTACGTCAAATAATTTATATTGCCATCAAAAAAAATTAAAAAAATCAAAGTTAAGTAGAATATGCAAATCCTTCAAGTTGCTACAGTATCTATAAAATGAACAAATCCAATTTGATTGGTTGTAACCATGTGACAATTAGCATCACGTAGTTTCGTCCAACTATAGTTCTAAGATAAATTACCTTGATAAAATGAAGTATGTATAAGGTGTAAATTTGCTTTTGTAAAATGCTTCAGAGAAAATTGGCTTATATGTATTTTTTATTCGGATTCTGAAAGTTCTAATAAAATTCTTTTATATTTTTTAAAAATTTTCTTCAATTTATACTACTGTTGGACATTTTTCTCCCAACATTTTTTCATTAAGCAACTCTTTGGAGTGTCATCAACGATTTCTGGCCGCAGATTATTATTATATATAGGCCGTATCATCACTTCTGATACATCACATTTTTTAAAATAAATTAAAAAGTTTATTAATAATATTAAA